AAATTAAGCTAAGTAGGTTCAAATTCAAGAAAGTACCTTTTGGGAGAAGTTTTGCACAAACCTAAGATGGGGGATAGCTGTTGATACATGAGTACTGAGCTATGATTATCATGGAGTGAAAGTGCACACCCTCTGAAGTCAGGTTGAAGATCTGAACTTCAGAATCCTTAGTAACCGTATATAATTCTAAGTGTTTAGGGTGCTATAGATAATTGGATATCTTTCAGAATATTAATCTTCAGAGAATTTATTGTTAGAAGAGTGGATGGGTTTATTTGATAAGCTTCATTGTAATGGGAAAGCTTTGTTCAAAATCTGCCTGGGATCTTCCTCTAAGTTTACATTTTAAAAATTAAATTATTAAGAAGCTAATCAAAATGGCAGAATAGGAAGAAGTAGTGGAACCCAGCTCCACTCCCTTCCCCAACCCTCGCATTCACAACTCAGTTCCTGACCACGGGCGCAGGGGGAGCAGCTCTGTCACATTGATTCTGATCCCTGGAGGACAGGGGATAAATCTCAGGCTCAGCCCCTGGGTTGCCATGGTAGCGCTGATAATGGTCACTAGAGGAGGTAAGATATGAGACTCCACCTTTGGGTAAGAATCAGAATCTTAGCTTATCCATTCCGATCCTCAAGATTGGGAAAACAAACAAGCAAACAAGATAATGTCCTTTTATGTTTCTGAGGCATAAATCCAAAAGAGGAGATTAACTCCAAAACTCATACAAACAAAACCTCAAAGATAAGCACAGCTTGCCAATAAGATTAATTGGAATTCCTAGAAGAAATTATTCAAGAGCTAAAAAGAATTTAAAATGATGTTATAAATGAAATGAGAGTGATAGAAGAAAGAATTGGAAAGGAAATAAGGGTTATGGAGGAGAGACTTGGAAAGAGAATTAGCAGCTTAGTCCAAGAGGTACAAAGCCTCATACAAGTAACAGACTCTTGAAGAATTAGAATGAGCCAAACAGAAGTTAATGACTCTATGAAATTTTAAATCAAATATTAAAACAAAGTCAAAAGACTGAAAAAGTAGAAGAAAATATAAGGTACCATATAGCACAAACAACAGACCTGGAAAACAGATTAAGAAGAGATAATTTAAGAATTATCAGCCTGAAATCCATGACCCAAAAGAGAATCTCAGTGTCCATATTTTAAGAAATCTTAAAAGAAACTGCCCAGATCTGTTAGAATCAGAATGTAAAGTGAAAATAGAAAGAACACACTGATCACCTCCAGACAGAAACTCCAAAATGAAAACTCCCAGGAACATTGTAGCCAAAAGCCAAAGCTTCCATGTCAAAGATAAGAAACTATAAACATCCAAAAAAGAAAGAATTCAATTACCAAAGAACCACAGTCAGAATCACACAAGGTTTATCAGTTTTCACTATAAAGAAGTTGAGAACATGGAATAAAAACTTCCAAAAAGCAACATTATAGGCCTACAACTAAGAATAACTTCTTCAGAAAAACTGAATATAATCCTATAGGGGGAAAATGATCTTCAATGACACTGAAGATATTCAAGCACTACTGATGAAAAGACAAGACCTAAATACAAACTCTGAAATACCAACATAGGAGTCAAGTGAAACACAAAAAGGTAAATATACGTGAGCAATCAGAAGGGATAGTGTAAGGAGGAACTGTTTACATCTTATTTGGGGAGAGGTAATATAAAGGTTTCATCAGAATCATACTATTATTAGTTGTCATAAAGGGAGTCAAATGAGACAGAGAGCCTGAGGGTGGTTCTGTTGTCTTGATGATCTTGAAAGAAGAAAGGAAATGGGGGGGGTGGCCGGTGGAGGGGGAGTGTAAGGATAATGCTAGGAATAAAAAAGGGAAGGAAAGATGGGGGAACTTATCTCACATAATTAGGGTAAAAAAGCAGAAGTCTATACAAAGTTGGAAGAAGTGTAGGGAATGGGTATCATCCTAACAGGTCAAAGGAAGGTAGAACAATACACATAGAGAGAATTTAGTGTAGAAGTACATTCAGTCGTGGGTGGTAGAGATCAAGGAAATGGGAAGGGGAAGGAAAAGAGTAGGAGTAGATTTCAGGAGGAATTTATAAAAATAAACCCTAAGCTTGGTAACTGGCGGCAGCAGTGGGAATATAGTAAAGAGGGGTTTAAAAGGAAAGAAAGAAAAAGAACCTTTGATAAATAGGGGGTAAAAGAAGAAAGGAGAGGAAAATGTATGAGAATAAGATGATGGGAAATACTCAATTAATGATCATACCTGTGAATATGAATGGGAGAAACTCACCTACAAAATAGAAGAAGGTAGCAGAATAGATTAGGAAACAGAATCCAACAATTTATTTTACTTATAACATTTTATTTACAAGAAACTCATTTGAAACATAAAGACTCAGAGTTAAAGTGAGTGGTTAGAACAAACTCCATTATGCCTCAGCTAAACTAAAAAAAAAAAAAAAGGAAAGAAATTACTATTTTAAAGATGGCAACAGCAAAAATAGACTTAATTAAAGGATACAAACAGGGAAACTACATGTGGCTGAAAGTTTCCATATACAATGAATTAATTTAAGTAGTTAACATATATGTACCAAGTGGTATATCATTTAAATACTTAAAGAGAAAGTGAGATGAATTACAGGGAAGACTTGAATGAAGTGATTCTGCAGAGGGCAGAACAGGAGAACAACTTATATAATAACAATAACATTCTAAAGACAAATAACTTTAAAACCTTAAGAACTCTTATCAATAAAATGACTAAGCATGATTCCAGAGGACCAATGATGAGATATGCTGCCCCCCTCCTGAGACAGAGAGGCTCTGGACACAGGGTGAAGAAGGGGTCATATACTTTTTAGAACCAGCCAATGGAACAATTTTTTTTTTTGCTCAATTGTGCACATTTGTCACAAGGATTATTTTTGTTTTTGTTTTCCAGTGGGGAGGATGGGAGGAAGAGAAAATCGATTTTTGGTCATTGAAAAAATAAAATTTAAATAAAAAAATGTAAGCTTCTAGACAGAAAAAAAATTAAATGAATAACACAGAATGATCTTTTTATATGAATCGTTACCCCCAAAGTCTGTCTTTCCCAAGTTTCTATTAGTGTTTTATTCAGATGTTTAGGTGGACAATTCTTTTATTTTAAATTTTAAGTGTTCATTGTTATCAAGTTTTTACATCACCTGTATTTTCAGATGTGCCTTTCTCTACTCCCTCACTCAGCAGATCATCCCTTGTAACAAAGAATTTTTTTTTAAGTGAGGAAAAATAGTTTAAAAATCTAAGCAATATATCAACTGTGCCTGACTGGAGCCAGAGTCCCCACCTCTTCAGTGAAGGGAGAGTGGTAAATTTTCAGTTTCACTGTTGTTAACGCTTTCCACTTCCATCGTTGTAGTCATTGTGGAGGATGTTTTTTGGAATTTGCTTACTTTGCACAAGTCTTTTGAATACAGAGTTTTTGTAGTTCTTGTTTTCTCTCCTGTTTCTGTCATCCAAATGTTCATAAACTCCACAAATTCAGGAACCCTGGTACTTCAGCCATAGAGGGTTGTGAAATGCCCGTAATTTGCCTGCGTATCTTTACATGTGTAGTAGGAATCTAATGCTGAAATATATTGATTTCACTGCAAGTAAAATGATAGCATTTAGAGTTTGTAGAGGTATTCAGTGTTTTTTTTCTTTTGAGTATTCCTTACTGTTTCAGGGGATGCACCAGGCAGAGAATTTATCTTTTAGTGCTTGACATCCTAGTGACAAACACAAGATCCTAGCATCCTTCTTAGACTTCACTAAGGTCTGCATAGAATAGGCAGTCTGTCCCCAGGCTTTACTGGACATCTTTCTAGCTTAGGTGGACATACCACGCCTTGGGCTGTTCTGGTATAGCTTTTATAGAATCCAGGGTCATTCATGGGGAGGCATTGAAGGAGGAATTGTGCCTATACAGCATCAGTTCTAAATATTCCTTTGAAAGATCTCAGAGTTGGAAGGGGCCTCAGAGTCCATTAATACTAACTTATCCCTGAACATGAATCTCTTTAATATGTCCAATGAATGGCTACCTAGCCTTTATTCTCTGACCTCTAGCGAGGAGCACCAACCTCTTCCCAGACAAAACTACTCACTCTACTTTGTGGTAGCTCCAATTGTTACTAAGTTTTCTAACACCTGCCTAGGCAGGCTTGAGTTTTCCTATACTTTTTCCTGTAATTTCCTACCTGGACAGGGCCTGATGGCAACAGGTAATGCATAGGTCATAGGTGAGCTGCTGGGATTGCCATAAAAAGAATTGCTGAAAAATTATTAGGTGTATGCTGAGTGGGACATTTAAAATGGAGAGACTATAGATTGTTCTATGGCATTGTCCTGGCAGAGGCAGGGCAGAGACTTCACAGACAGTGAGCATGCAGCATAGGGGGAGAGGAGAGGTATATCATGCTACCAAATTGAGTAGGAGTCTGCCCCTTTCATATGTTTCAGGGGCTATAGCCACCTAGATGTTGGAGACACCAATGAGGGGTTCTGGAGCCCAGCCAGAGAAGAAGGTGGAGAGGGTATGGCAAGGTGCTAAGCAGACATACAGGGGAGGGCAAAGTGATGCTGTTGGGGCAAAAGCAAGCATCTGTCTGTGGGTGAAGACCAAGGGTATTCCTGAACCTGAATCCTCTGATGGTCTACTTAACAAGGCACTGAGTGCCAGAATGCATATATACTCTCCTTAAAGATCACTTGGGGGTTGCCTGGCACTACCCAGTGAAGACTGGGATAGGAGAAAGAGGAGGCTCTTCAGATTTTTATAGAACAACAGAGCAACTAGGAATTTTTAGTAATGATTTTATGGATGAGGCAGCATGGTAAAGTGGTAAGAGTGCTGGATTTTTGACCCATGACTTAGGTTCAAATCCTGTTGATACTTCCTATTTATGTGACCTCAAGCAAGTCACTTATCCTCTGTGGGCCTTATTGAGTCATTAATCAAAATATTAACCATTACAGGGCCAGGATTCCCTCGAGGGACTTGGATTAGTGGAATACCTTGATGGTGCTTTCCAGCTCTTAATCTACAGCCCTATATACTCCAGTCTATCATGTAAGTATGCTGTCTTTAAATGCATGTGAAGTTGGGAGAGTGATAGGAATCTTAATGGGGTGGTGGCAGATGTGGACCAATTGTGATAAATTTATTGAATATTGGATGATAATGACTTTTACATTTTAAACTCTTCTTGTTGTTTGACCTTTTTTCTCAAGGAGGGCCAATCACATCACAAGGGTGATGACTTAAACTCTAGACTGAACCAAAAAGAACACAGCATATACTGAATAAAAGCTGGTAAGGCTTTCTGGTATACCCGCAGGTGCAGTGATGCAGGCTTTGCCAGACCCATGAAAGATTGGCCAGTTGCTCAAGTTTGGATGCACCACCTGGTGGCTGCTGCAGAGACTGCAGTCTTTGGAGCTTTTCCAGACCATGCCTCAGGGAGGCACCTGGATATCGCTGTTAATCTACATGTCTTTTCTTCTCCGATGCCCATAAAGGATACAAGGATATCAGTAAAGAGCAAAATTAACTGTATCAGCAGCAGGCATCTTACAGTTGTTTCTTATATACATTGCTCTCTGTGTGTTCTCTCTTTCTCTTTGTCTCTCTGTCTCTGGCTCTCTGTCATTCTCTCTCTTAAATTTGCTTCTTTGGAACTTCTACCTATCACTCCTGGTTCTGTTTAGAACCAAGTAGAACAAATCTATTCCCTCTTCTACATGGCATGCTTTTATTCAGTCTAGTTAGCCTTTCAACTAAATCCCTACATGGCATGACATGGGGACCCTTCACTACCCTGGTTGCTCTCCTCTGTATTATCTCCAATTTATCAATGTTCTTCCTAATATATAGGATCCAGGACACAATTCCCCTGATGTTATCTGACGAGGGTAGGGTAGAGCAGTACTGTATTACCTCCCTTGTCCTGGACACCATATCTCTCTTAATGTAGTCTAAGACTGCATTAGCTTCTTTGGTTGCCGTATAATGGCAGTCAAAGCAGATATGCAGAAGGAAGGCACTGCCTCTCTTAGCCTCACTCCCCACAATTCTATAGTGAGTATGGCACTAGACTTGATATCAGGAAGACCTGTGTTGAAATCCCACTTCAGACACTTATTAGCTATGTGAAATTGGGCAAGTCACAACTTTCCTGTGACTGAATTTCCTCATCTATAAAATAAAAGAGTGGGACTTAGTAGCCTCTAAGGTTCAGTAGTCTCCAGTAACCTCATCGGCTCTCAAGGATTTAATTATAATCTCTATGCAAATAATTCCCAGATGTATACATCTAGCCCTGACTTCTCTCCTCAGCTCTAGTCTCACATCACCAACTGCCTATTGGACATTTTGAACCGGATCTTAAGCTCATCATGTCTAGAACTGGACTCATTATTCTTCCCCCTCCCCCAACTTGTTCTTTTCCCCCCAAAAGTTCTTAGTTCTATTGAGTGCACACCCATCCTTCCGGTAAATCAGGTTTGTAACCTCAGCATCATTTTTGACTCCTCCTCATCCACCCATATATCCAAGCAGTTGCCAGATTTCATACTTTTGATCTTTGTTACATCTGTCATATGTTTCCTTCCCTCCATTCACATAGCCACCATTCCAGTTCAGGCCCTCATCGCTTGTCATCTGGACTGTTGCGACAACCTCCACTTGGTCTTTCTGTCTCAAGTTTCTCCCTGTTCTAATCCTTCCTCTTTACTGCCACCAAAGGTATTTTCCTAAGGCACATATCTGACCATATTACTGTCCCCGCCCCCTCCAAATCAGTAAACCCCAGTGGCTTCCCGTCAATTCCAGGACGAAATACAAACTCCTCTGTTGGCCTTTAAAGCTCTTCACAACGCGGCTCCCTCTCGTACTTTTTCAGTCTTGTTACACATTACCCTTCTCCAAGCACCTTGTGATTCTGTCATACTTGCTGTTTTGTGTACATGATATTCCTCCCACTCTGTTTTCACATTGGCTAGCCTCCATGCCTGGGATGCAATCCTTGGTTTCCATCAAGATTCACCTCAAGCTCCGTTTGCTACATGAGAGCTTTCCTAATTCTTCCGTCCCCCCATTTGCTCTTGCACTGTTATCACCTTATGTTCATTTTCATATGTGATGCTTATACTTATACATGTACATGTTGTCTTCAGCATTAGAATATGAGTTTCTTGACGGCAGGGGACTGTTTCATTTTTTTCTTTGTTTTTTTTTTTCCAATAATTGGCACAGTGTCTGGCATATATCAGGCTCTTCATAAATGCTCAGTGATTGATTGGGTGATGGTTTGTCATAAGTGAGGGTTTCAATATGGAAGGAGGGGGCAGCTGGTAGCGCGGTGAATAGAGCACCGGCCCTGAAGTCAGGAGGACCTGAGTTCAAATGCAGCCTCAGACCAAACACTTGGCACTTACTAGCTGTGTGACCCTGGGCAAGTCACTTAACTCCAATTGCCTAAAAAAAAAAAAAAAATCAACATGGAAGGAGAGTTTAAAATAACTGTGATGGAAAGACAGAAGGCATCAAAAAGATATCTTTTAAAAAAGTAAGTAAACCTTATCTGTAGAATTACCTGATCTACTAGGATCTACCCTGTTAACAAAGGAAATGGGCCTAATTTGGTATGACCTGTTCTTGATAAAACTGTATTGGCTCTTTGTTTTTTTCTTTTAATTTTTAAAAAAAATTATTTTATTTCATTTTATTTTTTAACATAAATTTATTTATTTTTAGTTTTCAACATTTGCTTCCACAAGATTTTGAGTTCCAAATTTTCAACCCCTCTCGCCCCTCCCCCCCACCCCAAGATGGCATGCATTCTGAATACCCCTTCCCCTAGTCTGCCCTCTCTTCTATCTCCCCCCCTTCTCTTATCCCCTTCCCCTTCTATTTTCCTGTAGGGAAGGATAGACTTCTGTACCCCATTTCCTGCATTTCTTATTTCCCACATGTGTTTTTTAAAACTTTGGGTTCCAAATTTTCTCCCTTCCTCCCTCTCCACCACAACCAGAGAAAAGGCAAGCAACTCAATATAGGTTATACATGTGCAGTTATGCAAAACACTTCCATAGTATACATGTTGTGAAAAACTAACTCTATTTTCCTTAATCCTATCCTGCCCCCCTATTTATTCTATTCTTTATTTTGACCCTGTCCTTCTCAGAAGTATTTGCTTCTGATTACCCCCTTTCCCAATCTGCCCTCCTCTCTATCATCCCCCTGCTCTCTTGTCCCCTTCCCCCCTATATTCCTGTAGGGTAACACAGATTTCCATACCCAATTGAATGTGTATGTTATTCCCTCCTTAAGCCAAATCCTATGAGAATAAGATTCACTCATTCCCTCTCACTTTCCCCTGTTTGCCCTTCACTATAAGAGCCTTTTCTTTTCTGTTTTTTTTGTGAGATAATTTACCCCATTCTACCTCTCCATTTCTTCTTCTCCTAGTATAACCCTCTCTCATCCCTTAATTTTATTCTCCAGATATGACCCCTTAATCTTCAACTCACCCTGTGCCATCTATCTGTCTGTCTATCTATCTATCTATCTATCTATCTATCTATCTATCTATCTATCTATCTATCTATCTGTCTGTCTGTCTGTCTGTCTGTCTATCTGTCTATCTATCTATCTATCTATCTATCTATCTATCTATCTATCTATCTATCTATCTACATACATACATATAATTTTTCCCCTCCCACTACCCTAATACTGACAAAGCTCTCATGAGTTATAAATATCATATTTCCATGCAGGAATGTAAACAGTTCAATCTTAATAAGTCTCTTATGATTTCTCTTTCCTGTTTACCTCTTCATGTTCCACTTGAGTCTTGTATTTGAAAGTCAAATTTTCTATTCAGCTCTGGTCTTTTCATCAAAAATGCTTGAAAGTCCTCTATTTCACTGAATAACCATTTTTTCCCCTGAAGGATTATACTCAGTTTTTTGGGTGGGTGATTCTTGGTTGTAATCCTATCTCCTTTGCCCTCCGGAATATTATATTCCATGCCCTTTTGTCCCTTAATGTAGAAGCTGCTAAATCTTGTGTTATCCTGATTGTGTTTCCACAATACTTGAATTGTTTCTTTCTGGGTGCTTGTAATATTTTCTCCTTGACCTGGGAACTCTGGAATTTGGCTACAATATTCCTAGGAGTTTTCCTTTGGGCATCTCTTTCAGGAGGAGATTGGTGGAATCTTTCCATTTCTATTTTGCCCTCTGGTTCTAAAATATCAGGGCAGTTTTCCTTGATAATTTCTTGAAAGATGAAGTCTAGGCCCTTTTTTTGATCATGGCTTTCAGATAGTCCAATAATTTTTAAATTCTCTGTCCTGGATCTATTTTCCAGGTCAGTTGTTTTTCCAATGAGATATTTCACATTGTCTTCTATTTTTTCATTCTTTTGGATTTGTTTTACAGTGTCTTGATTTCTCAAGTCTTACTGACTCCAGGCCCAGCACTCTATCTACTGTGCCACCTAGCTTCCCTCTTTAAGAAAATATCCCTGAATTTTATCAGAAATCAGAGTCGAACTCACTGGGCTATGGTTTGCAGTATGTCTTTGTTCCTTTCCCTCCATTTCTCTTCTCTCCCCTCCCCCCCTTCTCCTCTCTTCTCTTCTCTCTTTTTAAAAACGTGGACAATGTTTGCCCTATAGTCCTGTGGTGCCCTTCTTATTCCTTGCAGCCTTTCAAAGAACATTGACTTCAGTACAGCAATATCATCTGCCAGTTTTTTCAGTGTCCTGGGATGTGGTTCATATGGGCTTGGTGATATGAACTCATTAAGGGAAACTATGAGCTCTCTTTCTGTCTTAGTTATCTCTGGTATCAACTTCTTCCCGCCAGTCATTTTTGCTGTTCTTTCTGGTCTAAAGATCATTTTCCTTGGCAAAGAAAAATGAAGCAAAATTAGACTTGGGCAGTTCACCTTCTTCTCCATCCATTATCATTGTCTCATTCACATTAAACAATGTTCTTATCCTTTCTTTGATCCTTCTTTCTCCCAATATACCCAACAAAAGTCAAACAAATCCCCCCTCCC